CTCTCTCTCTCTCTCTCTCTATATATATATATAAAAGGTGATTTATAATTGCAAGCAGAGCTGCTGTAAGGGTTGAAATTTGCCGTCTTTTCAATAATTTAAGCATTAATCCTGGATCGATGCCAAGTCACTGGAGTATCATTCGGTCAACCAGGTTACAAATACTTCCACAGACATGAATAAACTGGGGTAAATACAACTTTTGAGTAGCATCCAGAGGATCTTCTGTTTTGGTGTTGCATATAGCATTTGGCCCTGCTTTCAGTAACAAACATTGATGTGAATAACATAGGGTGCAAAAAAAAACTTGTGAAATTACGTAAATTGAACTCCAGATCAAAGACGTGATTTTTAAACGATGAGAAGGATTTCACGCTGGGGCTGCCACTGAAAGCTGACAACAGTCGTGTCTATGGGAGCGGCAGCCAGGGCAGGGCCCTGGCGAGCCGACCGCACCGCGAAAAAAAATCGCGATTAACACTGACGCCTACTGAAAAGGAAAAGATGAAAGCCTGTTTTGGAGATCGGAAACGCGGGAATCCGCTCAGCTGCGTACATTCGCCTCCTGGAATAGAAGCTGCTGGCGGCTTGCGTGGAGGTCCTTTCACCAGGCTTCATTTTACAGCAGGACCCCATGTCCCCTCCCAACGTAGCCGGACCAGACGGTTTCCCGCTGGGCGCTGCCACGTCATTAGAAAGGGCGAGCGGCCAGCAAACTCCCTTACCTGAAGCCTCTGAACCATTACGTATGGAAAGCGCCCTCGGAGGAAACACGCATCAGTCTCATCACCGGAGACTCTCCATCCTTGACGGACTGAAAGAGGCCACCATGACCGCATGGAAGTTCAGTATGATGCTGAAGTTCACGAAATTCATGGTGATGATGAAGCTCATGAAGTGCATAGTGATGACGAAGTGTATGAAGTTCATGACGATGATGAAGTTCATTAAAGTCATGGTGATGATGAATTTCATGAAGTTCATGGTTATGACGAAGTTCATGATCCCCGAAAGATGGACGAGCTGAAAGCAGCCATCATGACCGCATGGAAGTTCGTGACGATAAAGTTTATAATCACCGGAAACTGCCCATCCTGGACAAACTGAAGGAGGCCATCATGACCACATGGAGGCAGGTAACACCAGACACCACGAGGAGCAGCATTCACCTGTGGATGCAAAGCCTGTATGCGGTACCTCAAGCTGGTGGCTGCCCAAACGCTCACGTGTTTCAAAAAAAAGACTGGCTACGCAACATGTTTACGCGTCTTTGTCTCTGAGCTGATAACGCGATGACAAATCAGCTGACATCACTGAAATTCAATGAATAGCACAGACACCTTGCGCTATTCCGCAATTTCCTTTAGGCCTAAGGTAAAAGCACAAATGCTGGGCAAAAGGTGGTGGGGCAAAATGGACATATATGCTCAGCTAAGGCTTTGATAAGCACCGTCGTTGCAGGCCTCAGGCTGTCTGGCTCAAACGCATGCTCTCTGCTAAACGATTCATTTCCGACTTACTGGATGACCATGGGCGTAAGAACAGGGGGGGGGGGGGGGGCAGGGGCCGTGGCCTCTCCCACTTTTCAAAGTGGGTGATAGCAGTGTTAACTGCCCCCCCCCCCCCTCAAACACACACACTTTTCAGATTGAGGTTGTATTTGGCTTGCTTTGGCACCACATTAAGTATTTGTGCTGATCTACCTAGTTCACCAGCCATCTTCCTCAAGATGCGTTCTCCATTTCGTTTGCTCATCGACCATCGCTTAGTATTACAGTCGCAAGGCCGACGCCGCACTGGAGACTGCAACGCCGGGCGTGGAGGCTGCTGTTGCTATGGCTCGCGAGCGCGCGTGTTCAAGAATATATTGCGTAGTTTTCTTATCAGTAATCAGTTTCGACACGAACTTGGGCATTTCAAAGCGAGCATGTGTTAGCCATGTTAATACAAATTGAAAACCCGATTTCATTTACAATCTAAGGTCAGGGAAAACCCAATATCCCTGAAGAACACAGAAAAACACGGAATTGGAGTCTATGTGACAATTATTCGACTACCTGCGGTGATCAGGGATGTTGTTGCAACAGTAAGGGTTCCTGTGCTGGTCCGGGGCTAACTGAGCGGATCAGAAGGCCTTCCGTGTCAGGGATGGGAGCAATGTCATATGAAATATCCTTCTATGGCCCCCCGGATCGACCTAGAGGACCCGCCCCGTGTCACCAGAGTGATAGCCTGAAGACACCTCGCGATGGGACGGAACGGTCCTTCAGCCCTTGACCGGAAACGGTTAAGGGCTGAAGTTGTTCCTCTGGTGTTCTACTCAAGAGCCGCTTGCCCGGAAGGAAATAAGGGGTCCCATTACTGTTGAGTAGATTGCTGGTCTCATTATTGTTGAAAAGGGTGGGTCGAAATGAGCTAAAAAACAAAAGAGCGGGATCATGGCATGTTTGCCTGAGAGTGTTCATTTCTTAGAATGTGTTACAGAAACAAAGTCGTTCAACAACTGATTTCCACATGTTATTGACCTCAAAATACAAACAAAATTGAGCTCACGGTAGCTCTTGGTTTTTGTTCTGGTCACAACGTAAAAATAACAATAAGGCGAGGAACAACATGCCACTTGTCAACAAGTAAGCTGCATCCGGGGATTTTTGGGGGGAATCACCATAAGATGGGCTTTTGTCAACCTTGCGTTTCCCCTTGGCAAGGCTCTGGCTACGCCCCTGCCCACACACAAAGGCAAATGAAGTAGTGTACGTTGCATGATGGGCAATGAAGTGTCCGCCGGGCCAATTCATACCTAAGGCAGACAGCTTCCCGGAGGCTATTTTTCTGAGATGATGTGGTGTAAGGGAAGATAATTCGGAACAGATGCTGCTGCAGGTGTCCAACACATGTTTCGCACCATGTAGTAGTAACGCTGATCCAAAAGTATGCAACAAAGCAGCCATGCGATCAGTTCGCAGTCAGTCATGCGGGAGACATCGGGCCAGGGCAGTGGCCACCGATGGCGGACAGGACCAGGTCCAGATAAGGAACATATGGCAGATGGGCCTTACTATGTGGCCTGGTTCTTAAAAGAGGATCTCCAGTCTTGTGGCGTTCGTCGCATTGTTTCTGGTAGCTTCAAGCTCCCGAATTCGTCTTCGCCTAAAATGCTGCCACGAGTCTTATCTCTTGAAAAGCAGCCAGCGAGACGAAGGCACATGAAAAAATCTGTCGCACTGTGAGCCATCGGTCTCCACTTAAAAAACTCTCACCAGCAGATATCCTGGCCGTATTTTGACATCTACACTGTGTAGGGAGATGCTCCCCAATGAACCAAAATGCCTACCCCGCTCGTGGAATTTCGCCTCCCCAGGACAGGCAACGTTACAATGAACGAATAATCTTGGGAAGCTGAATAGCCTTATTTGCCAAATTATAAATTATTCGGATTGGCAATATTGTGCACAGCGAGAACAGCTCCAGATGCGTACATCTCCATATTGCTAAAGGACACCCTGAGCTTGCCCCCCCCCCCCCACACACTTTTTGAAACATTCCTACGCCTGTGTGGACGACCCGCGAATATTGGACGACCCCCGAAAATGTCTCCTAACAGTGTTACCGCATGTTCTTTTCGCGTGTAGCAGATTAAAGTGGCAAGGGCGACGCCAACACGGCGCCGATAAATATCGTTCCAGCGATTATGCATTCACCCAGCCGGCGGGCCCTGACGGCTCGACGGTCGTCATTCAAGACAGCGATGCGCATCCAGAGGTGCTGGCACCACAGGGCTCAGCTGTGAACGTGCGTGGCAACAGCAGCGGGCATAGACGAATCGAGCTGGAAAAAGACGACTCCGGTGTCTCTTCTTCCAGGGACCAATTGGTAGGGCTATTACGAGGGATCTGATCACACTGCCCTCAGTTCACTTTCGTTCCGTGCCTGGACTAGTTAAAGTGCCTCCAATGCCGAATGAAGCTTGAAAAGAGATAATGAAAGACCAGCAGCACCTATGCGAGTTGTTAAGGGCAGTCCAAGCAGAACCGTAAGATGTCACCCAACACTTGTTGACAGAGTCGTTGTTTCACAGAGTTGGGGAGGGGGGGGGGGGGGGCCTGCTGAACAGTGAAAATTGACGACATCTAATCCAAAGGTAGGCCACCAAACGGGATTTTCCACGGATTTGATCCACGTTTGTCACCAAGTTCAGGGGAAGACTTAAGTTCAAGTCGGTCTGGCTGGAGCCCCCCCCCTTCCCTCACCACCACAAAACAGGGAGCTGCACCCTTGCTTGTTCACCACAGACTTTGGGGCTCTCCATCCAACCTATGCGGCAGCACCGTTAGACAGAAAGCTACGTTTGTATATGCCGACAGAGGCGCCAACGCCAGTCATATTTGTGCTGAAATAGGAAGGCCTGGAATGCTTGAGATAGAGTTCGTCCAAATATTAGCGACGAGGCGAAAAGCTTGTCTTTGATTCTTCTGCCTGTTCTTGAACATTTGGAAGTCCAAAGACGTCCAATGTTGTTGCGTTTGGTTAAAAAAACTGCATCTGTTCGGCCGGCTGTGGAACACCTCGGAGCCTTTGGGTCTTTGCGGGGCCAAAGGGGTGGGGCATGGCCCCGTGCTCCTCTGCATCCGCCTCTGCTTACATGTATCTTGCTCTTCCGCTCTTTGCGCCATTTTGGGGTGCAGGTAAGGAAACATCTATATGGTAGCATTCAAAGTCATAGACAGCTATGACGCATATTTGACGAGCTGCTCATTACGCCATAGCGTGACACCCACGTACAGGGTACATTCCCATGCTCCTGTCCGTCTCGAGGGAGAAGGGGAAGTCGCGGATTGGTAGCGGTCTTGCAGGGGCAGCTTTTGTAGAGTCGTGCGCGATAAACAAGTTAGCATCTGGTTCCACTCATTGAAGATCCTGATATGTCAGCCAGGAAAACCAAAACGTCCACTTCTGTGGATGACGATGTGTGCATTGTTTGTTTCAAGAATTTACTATTCGCTGCATTATGGACTGTGAACACACCATATGCTACGAATGCTCAACAAGACTGAGAGTTCTGTGTGAAAAGCTGGAATGTCCGATTTGTCGTCAGGAAACAACAATTGTAAGTACGGGGAATACCAGAGAGAATTCATTAGTGGTGTATGTAAGTTCATTTACCTCTTGTATTCAATTGTGGCCTTTGCCCTGGCAAGGTCTGGGGGTTGTGGGGGTGTAGGTCAGGAAAGTGGGCTGCTCTGTGGCACTTAAAGTAAACACTGGTGTCACAGTCATATGGCCAGTTTTCATGGCTGATGTGCATGTGCTGGGTCATGGACTGAAATGTTGACATAAATCTACAAACCAACAACCTGCAACATGTGCATGTGAAGGTGATGGCCTACAATGTTTTAGCGATCTGTACACTGCCCTGATTAGCATACAGTGTCTTTTTCCAAAAGGTGCACTGTCTTGACAATGCCATGCACAATGCCTTTTAACATGCACATGTGTGTGTTTGAGCAGGGCATCTCCACTCAGGAGGAATTTCCATAGCAAATTACTTCAGTAACCTTGTAAGATTAAATTTTTCCTGGCATTTAGTGCAGATATGACATAGCCCAATACAGCCTAACTTTATCTTTTCATTTGGGTCACACTTAACAGGGGAGGGGGAGTGGGCTTGGTCCATGATCAGTGAACTTGCTGGCAAATCCACAGTGAGGAATCAGCAATAATATGTACACTCCTTCTGAATGTTTTCACCAGTGGGATACTTTAATTAATAATTTTTGTTTAAGGCCAATATAATATATTATTATCATTTTTTCATTTCTGTTTGCATGATATGGCTTAGAGTAGTTGTCTTTTGTAGACAGTTCTTTTCTGATAGATTGAAATATGTAATGTAAATTTTGATAAAGTCATGTCCCGCTTATGAATTATGTGTGCTAAATGGCTATATATGGGTCAAATAACATGGCACATCTTTTTCAACATAGTTCCTCTGCGATGATCCTCATTTCCATTTTAGGGCATATGAATGACTGCAGTAAATTTTCTGCCCCATCATCATCCCTTTTATTGCTACCTTTGGCATTGTGTCAGTAGTACAGACATCATTAGTGCTTCCATCTTCATTTAGATGTTAAAGTTGGATAATGGTCACACAAAGCTTCAACCCTTTTCATGAAGTACCTATATCAGGTATATGTCTTTTCTAGCTAATACAGCTTACTTTGTAACTTAGTCTGCTCTTATTGGTGACTTTCACCATGTAAAGGAAGTAGTTTGTTTGTTAGGTGCCAGATTCACATCCCAAAGTTTTATAAGACACATCTTTCATTAGCAAATTGCTGGTATTATGTCATTCCTGGAAGCCTTCATAGTTTTTGGTGAGCAGCATTGAACTGAAATATAAGTCAAATATCTTGCAACCCGGTGTGTTCAGTGGTTGTGTAGTTTACTCTCATATAAATGTGGGCACTGGAAGCTCATGGAATCTGGTTATTCAAATCTTGGGTGTATTGGATTAAGAACCACATGTTCACTTATCTAACCATGATGACAATTCCAATATTATTTTGATGCAATCTTGATCCTGCCAATATTATGGTAGGGGCCATGCATGAATGTAACATCCCAGAAAATGATAAAAATCATCAGTATGCATTCACAAGCTGATCAAGAGTAATGTATTTTATCAGGCTCCTTGTGGCAATTATGTTTTGTAACGCCAAGGTCTGAGAACTGAACTACCAATTGTGTGCTTGTAACCTGTCTCACATAATGTGGGACTTAAACATTAAGCATGTGGTGATGCTTGGAAATAATGCCCTAAAAGTCACAATTTTTGTGGGAGTCCCCTGATTGTTTATGCAATGACCCCTTTGCTGATAAACATTGCTTGTGGAGGCATACTCTTTTATGTACTGTGCTGTCACCATATGGTGGAGTTCAACTTTGGCCCTAAATACTGGGGAGTCTGGAATCTTCTCAGTAAAAATAATGGGGCCTTCTATTTAATACAAAGCATTACAGTTATGTATTGAGCACTATAATATACCAAATACCAGAACCTATTATTTCTTCCTAATTCTGCATATAAGTCAAACTGCATGAAACACATGATAAATTACTGTATTGATAGTAATGCATTAATGTTCTCAATAGTGCAGTAATCTGGCATATGACTATTACACTGGCAATTACATGCTTCATCTTTTTATCATTGTGGTTGGTGTAAGCTTCTTATTTGATTACCTTTCTGAAGAGTTGTACAGGATCCTACATTATAACATAGGTAGTAAGTGGGATACTGTCATGTATTTTGCATATGTTAAAGGTCAACTAGGCCAACAAGAACATGCTAAGATGAAACCAGTAAGCTTCATTGAGTTTTGGGCAAAATGTCCCAATAGCTGTGTTGATATGTAAGCTTGAAAAATTCACAAATTCATGAGCTGAGGGGTTCAGATTAGTGGGCTTCATGTGCAATTCAACACCCATATCCTTGTTTGCCATCAGGTTACTTCATGTTTGAAATGCCATTTTGTCTTATAGTTGTCTATTGTGCTTTAGAAGCAATGTTATGCAAAATACATGTATTGCATGTATGGTGATCTACACCATGCACCTAAGCCTCAGTTAAAGAAAACATGCATTGCAAATTTAGTGAAATAATTGAACAGTTATGCCACAAACTTGGTGGGATATGTGATGTTCAAGTCAGAAGTGAGGCAAAACATGCTAATTTTATTGCATTTAGCAGTAACACTGTGATATAAAAGGTCATCCTGCATGTCTGCTGATCAGGTCATCAGGACATCCTGCATGTCTATTTATCAGGTCATGAGGTCACCCTGCATGTCTCTTTATCAGGTCATCAGGTCATCATGCATGTCTGCTTATAAAGTCATCAGGTCATCCTGCATGTTTGAGTTTAATAGAAGAAAGGATTCAAACAACTAAACACACAACATTTAGCAGTACATAACACAGCACCCACATACATAAAAACCATGTCTTGATATATCAAAGCCTTAAATATTGCTCACTCCTATATGCTCACTCCTATAAGAAGAAGCCCAACCATGTCACATGACTGGAAAAGAAGTGATCTGTAGAACCGCTGGGCGCAACGGAAAAGCGCTGGCCGCGTCTTCGGTGCCCGGTGCCACACGTGAGATGCCTTGGCAGGTATCCTTTCAAACATTTCGGGAGCGAAGCGCGGAGTTTTCGTGGAGCTAAGAAGTAAAAACATTTTGTTCCCCCATGCTGCAAAGTTTGTGGAGAGAGTTCAGAGAGCGAAGTTTGTACTAAAGTTTTTGTCAGTATGCAAGAGCGCCGCGGGGTTTAGATGGCGTATCTGTGAGAGGTTTGATGACGCAGCTGGGGTCGCGCCGGGGAGGATAACATGACATGTTTTTGACGATGGCGGAGATGCGGGAGCCTGAGGTGACATGCTTATCGGAGTGCGCCCCGCGCTATTTGTCGTACATTGATGCGCTTGCACAGAATGAGGTTCTCACGCAGAATAAGACTCTCACGCGAAATTCGCCGCAGAATCCAAAGGGTATCCCGGCTGTGCCTTGATAGTACCTATAGTAGCCAAGGGTAGTCATGGACATAGCATTGATCATGTTTGATTTCATTTTGTGCCAGTGGGGCCAGGTGCTTAAAGCTCGGGTCCATTGTGGCATTAAGTCAGGAAGGCGGTCTTCTCGCCATGGGCTTTACGTGAAACATCGTCAATATGTTGCTTCTTTTGTACCTCTGGGATGTGAAGGCGCGATATTGATGCACAGGTCGTAGTAGGGTGTTGTTTCTGTATGCTCATACAGTGGGCAGCGTCCATTCAGACGTGCCTTTCGTTTGGTACACATGTCTGCTGCCACGTAGGGTTTGTAAGTTGGTACGTGAAAGATCTTTTAAAAGCTGCGTTTCATCTATTTTTGTTTCCGCTTGCCATTTCATATGCACGTAGCGTACTTATGATATAACAGATGTTTCGGGTCAGTGTCATTCATATACGCATATGATTACAGGCTATTTACTGAACAATGCTCACCACCACCGGTATAATTTGCTTTACAGGTCCTCACCGCCTCGTCGAGGACGAAGCGGTGCGCCGAGCGCTGCCGGTATTTACTTTACATACCCTCCGGCAATGGTTGTTCGGGGCATGTGCCGTGACAAAGAGGCACCTGGTGCGGTGCAGAGTGTGTTTCATGACTCACGACGATAGCAGCCCTTGGCACGCGCATGTTGGCGCAAACGTCGCCGATCTTGACACCTCCTCGCCGCGCCCTCTCCCGCAGGCGGTGTTTTCGCGCGACAAAGGCTCGTTCCGGTCGCTCTTCATGCGCGCGCTGTACAACGAGGACAAGTACAAGCTGGCGCTGGAGGACGAGGCGGTGCGCCGAGCCTTCGCGGGCCTGCTGGCGCACAACTGCCCCGTCTGTCCGCAGCGGCGCGGCTTCGGCACGTTCAAGCAGCTGAGCGACCACGTGCTGCGCGAGCATCAGCTCATGTACTGCGACCTGTGCGTGGGGCACCTGAAGGTGAGGGTGCGGACGGGCGCGGGGCTGGCTCCCCACACTGCAGCGAGCGGCGGTGGGGACCACCTGCCCTCATTGCCTTCTCCCTGGTGTTAGTGGAGGCGTGGTGGGTCGAGGAATGAGCGTCGAAGGCGAGCACTTCGATGGTTTTTAGGCATGCCTGCCTGTGTCACGTGTGTCAGGTTGGCTAGTTGGTCAAGGGATGGTAAGCATTTGCCACTACGATAGGTCACGCTTTCTACTTTTCTGGCATTCAATGAGCCACTTCTACAGTACGTCTTCCTCACATGCTAGGGGCACACGAAGCCGCGCGGATGGCTCGTTCTCCCCCTGAGCTAGGTCCCAAGACGGATGCGCGATGGTCGTGCACGCGGGTTTGGACATTCCGCGGTTGAACTGTGACGCGCCAAATCCCTCTGGTCCAGCAAAGGGTTCTCTGCATATGCTGGCTCCACCTTAGAATATTCCGCTTTTTGTCGAAGGGCGGTGGCGGTGGTGGTGGTGGAAGGAGGTGCTGCCGAATGATAGCTGACGGGAATATGGATGGCGCGGGGCTGGACGGGCAGAGCGTGTCCTGCACCCTCCCCCTCCCGCCCTCCCAGGGGACCAACTGCCTGTACTGATGGATTGGTACATAGTTTACGCATACACTCGCGCGTAAGCACTGGCGCCGCCCGGAGCAGGGCGGAATGCCTCGCCGTTAAAGGGCATGCAGTATCGGTGCCGGCGTACATAAATGTTACGCAGAAATCATGACGTGTTGTGATCCGGTGTGTGCAGTTTGTTGTGATCTGGTGTGGGCAGTTTGTAGAATGTACAAACTGTACGCACCAGGCGAAGACGATAGTCCAAACAATTTTTCCATCCGTATTACTAATGCCTCGTCTTAATCTTTCCCTAAAGCTGCAATTGGTCCCATTTTTTTTTTATGGCAGCGCGGACATCCGTGATCGATCATGTGTATCGTGCCTGCCCGATCCGTGACGTCGCTTTTCTGCCCGTGACACCACCGGTGCGCTCCCACGTCACGCGGCCGCCGCTGTCGGCAGATCTTCACATCGGAGCGGAAGCTGTATAACCGGGAGCGTCTGGCGCTGCATCGGCGCAAGGGCGACCCGGACAACTCCTCCCACCGCGGCCACCCGCTCTGCAAGTACTGCGAAAAACGGTACGTGGGGCGGTCAGAAGCCGTGTAGTCCGTGCTGGGGTTCTTTCGACGGGGCCTGCGAGCTCCGCAGCGCCATGGCCGCATTTATGCTCCTAACTCGCATTGGATGTGTTGTGCTTCTTCGCATCTCCGTGCAGGGATTACGCGGACGGTGCACCGTACATCTTGCGTTAAGTCAAGAGCTCAGTTCAAGTGAGTTCAGGATCGTTCAGTGAGTCGTGGGGTTGGCAAGAGATGCTCTTGTAGTCGCTCGGTGGTCTGTGGCGACCGAAACGAAACAGCTTCGCGGCGCGCAGCCGGCTACGCGGATGCCCGTCCGCTCGCTACGGCGACGCACGCGGCATTGTGCTACTGACAGCTCGAGTGCTTGCTCTGCCGTACCGCGATGTCCGGTGTGCTACACTGCCGGTGAGGCATGGGATAAGGTGGCCGAGTGGTCTGAGGCGCCGTGCCCCCAATGACGACGTCTGCGGTTCAATTCCTGCCGCAGGCGGTTCCATGGCGACGAAGCGGCGTGAGGTGCCGCTCAGGCGTTGTGCTCGCCAATGAAGGGCTCAGTAATGACTTGCTTGTTTCGCGCTTACGATCCGGTTATGGATGCGAACTGAATGTGCCCTGGGAGGAAAGCCTTGCGATCGTTAACGACGTCGTCGCCAGGTACGTGGACAACGACGAGCTGTTCCTGCACCTTCGGCGGGACCACTTCTACTGCCATCTGTGCGAGGCTGACGGCGAGCAGATCTTCTACGAGTGAGTGGCGCTCCTGAGAGGCACGTCTGGCCACTGCTGGGCGCACTCGTGGGACGGCCCGGGGTTACCGCTCACCTCTGGGAGGTCAGAGTGGACAGGCGATGTTGAGGGGCACGTCTGGCCACTGCTGGGCGCACTCGTGGGACGGCCCGGGGTCACCGCTCACCTCTGGGAGGTCAGAGTGGACAGGTGATGTGGCGGGTCATGTCACGGCAGGTCACCGCCGGACAGGACGGGGTACGACGGACGGTGACACACTAAGTCCGCTCGGGAGGGGGGAGGGGGCTGTGTTGCGTGCCGTGTTTGACCCCGAGAGGTCTCGTATGGGATTTCGGGACGCCCGTTTGGAATCACCGTTGGGATTCCCGTTTCCAGATCTGGTCGAGCGCCCCGGTTGGCTGCAGGATGTGCCGCGCTAATGATCATTAGAGCGAGGCCCTGGGCTGAGTGGGTGTTATTGAGCACTGTTACGGTCCTCAACTCGTTTGACTCTTTCTGCTCGGCTCATCTCAGCCCGGCTCTGCCGAACGGTGTGCGGATCGCTCAATTATTTGCAGCTGGAGCCTCCCCGACGTCGCGCAGCTGGTCGTACGCCTCCGCTAGCTCTGATTGCGGAGATCCGGCACCTGTTGTTAAGGATGTCCCAAGAAACGGGTGAATTCGTGCTTTGCGAGCGGTCGCGCGTGATGTTCAGCACGCGCCGATCTGAATTTCGGCCCGCGCGTTTGGCTTTTGTTTCATTCATCAAAAGTATTTGGCTTTAAGGGCCGTCACTACGCCTGGTTGGCGACATCGGAACTTACTTCTTGCCCATGTTCTTCGGTTTGATGTTTACAATTAGAAAGCATTACGTTTCCCACGCTGACGGAATAGGGACACGAGATAGTGGTGATATTGTGGAAGTAGAGAGAAGCATGTCGCCGGAACAAATGGCTTGCATTTGAGTGCTTGAAAGTACGAATATCACAGCACAGCGTGTAATAAAATGCGCTGTGTGTTGCTGGAAACTTCATCGCGGCACGATCAGCCGTTACGGACTGAAGCTCATCAAAAGCGTGACCGGCCAGGTCAGGCCGCTAAAACTCCACGAATTTCGGCTAGCTGGTGTTAAGACTCCGTAACAACTCAGGTGCTGTGGTATATCAGTAAGCTCGTGGAGTCCCCTGGAGAGGAGAGACGCATGCTTGATATTAACGTATTATTCGTGACTCGGAATCCACGTGCCCACTCCTGCTCCGCCTACGGTCGCGGGGTTCTTGTACACTTTCAGGAAGCCGCCGACGGGTAGTCCACCAAGCTCCACTGTGCGACGCAGACAGGAATGTGTAGCGACGTTAGAACTGCCCCGCCACCCCCGCCAATGCCATTCCCCGGGTGATTCACGGACAGTGCTCCAAAGAATGGAAGGCATTGGCCGAGTCGGCCTGGAAACAAATAAGCGCCAGTTCGCCGAGTGGTTACTGTCGTGTCGAGAGCGGGAGGACGGGGGTTCGATCACCACCTGGTGAAACTTTTGCGAGCTGCGCTTTCCATCAGTATTCGTGACGCTGGTAACTCGATCAGCTGCACGTGCAGTAGATGACCGAGCAACTGTGACAGTGACGGCTACTGCTACCAAATGCTGCCAAATGTACAGCCACCAAATGTCCGCGCAAGAGGTCACATCACAGGTCACATCAGCTGTTGCATTGCACTGACATCATTTTCTGACGTCACATTACCCTCTCGCAGCGACTACAGCCACCTGGCGGATCACTTTCGCGAAGAGCACTTCCTCTGCGAGCAGGGCGAGTGTCTGGAGAAGAAGTTCATCGTCTTCAGGACCAATATCGACCTGCAAGGTGAGTGCGGCTGGCCGGCACTCGCTGTGTCGCCGTCGTCACGGCCCGAACCCGACTGGCGCCACTGTCGACGGACGGTGATGCTGGCGTGTGCTTGCTGTTGCCTGTGGTTGTCAATAGGGCGACAGCGGCCCTTCGATGATAGTCCAAAGTACATTTGCTGCGGTGACTAATGTGTGCTGCGGCAAATTAAGAGAAATGCGAAGATTTGGTTGCATTTTTGCCTGAACGTTTTTTTGTGGGTTTTTCAAATTTTGGCCTCCGTGTATCACCCCAGTCTTCGTGTTTGAGTCTACCCTTTGTGTTGAACCCAATGTGGTTGTATGAACTCATTCTTTGCGTTTGATCCCGTTAGTTGTGTCTGCCGCGGTGAAGCACGCTACCTTGCGTGTCTGCTCTGATGTCTGCGTCTGATCCACTCTGTGTATAAGCCACTTTCCGTATCCTATATGTAGCCGATGCAAGGTCTTTCGAGCCATCTGTCATTGCCTGACGCCTCTTTGTGCACCGGATCTGCTGTCCGTGCGTGAACGGTTCCCTGTATGTACCGCGCTCGCAGCTTCGGACGCCACCGGCTGTGTCCGACCCCCTTCTGCCTGCACCCTCGGACACGTCGTCCATACCCGACACGGTGCTCAGTGTCTGAACTCGCCGTCTTTGTCTGGCCCCACTGCCTCTGTGTTGCGGACCCTGTATCTGACCCCCTTCTGCCCCTTCTGCGTGCACCCTCGGACACGCCGTCCATACCCGACACCGTGCTCAGTGTCTGAGCCCGCCGTCCTTGTCTGGCCCCCACTGCCTCTGTGTTGCGGACCCTGCGTCTGACCCGCTCCGGCCGGCCGTCCGCCGCCAGCGCACCGCGCCACGGCCCACTCGGACAACAAGAGCCGCGCGCAGCAGCGCCAGGATCGGGTGCTGACGCTGGAGTTCAGCGCCGAGCAGGGCGGCCGCCGCCGGCGCAACGACCGCTACGGCGACGCGCGCAACGACAGGTGCGACCGCTGCTGCGGCAGCAGCGGCAGCGGCAGCGGGTGATGTGATGTGATTTACAGGGAGATGGGACATGTGTGACCTGCGTAACAGCGCTTGGGAGGATAGGGACGGTTCGTGCGGCTGGGTCGGCGACGGTGGGGCGGCTGAGGATGTCACGTTGACAGAAAGACGACAGGTAAAATTACTTTGGCGATTGGCAGACGGGTACGGATGCTGGTGCAGCCGATGGGACTGGCGGCAGGGGCGGTTGTGTGGAGAGGGGCGTTGGGGCTGAGAAGTCCGGCGTGCTCAACGACAGACGCGACAGCGACAGCGGCGGCAGGGTTATGTGATGCTCGCCTCGTGCCGAGCTGTGAGGACTTGATCCCTCCGCTGACCTGACCCGAACTGACCCCACCTGATCCCTCCGCTGACCTGACCCGAACTGACCCCACCTCACGACCTCGACCCGCGCCGCCGGCAGGAGGGAGCAAGGCGCCAGGGCCCACTCGCCGCCGCCGCCTCCTCCGCCTCTACCGCCGCAGCAGGCGCCGCCGATGAACACAAGCAGCACGCAGGAGTTCCCGACTCTGGGCACGGGCGCGGCGGAAGGCGCTGAGATCAGCGGCAGGTCAGTGGCGGCGGCTCACGCGGTCACCCGACACGTGGGCAGACGCTCAGCGACAGGTCAAAGGTGACGGCCCACGCGGTCACCCGACACGTGGGCAGACGCTCACGTGGCAGAGGTGCCGGCCCGCGTGGTCACCCGACACGTGGGCAGACGCTCACGTGGCAGAGTTGCCGGCGGTGTCGCGGAGCCGGCCGCCAGACAGTAGCTCACGGGAGAGGCGACTGACAGGGGCACAGCAGGGGTCGCGTGGTAGATCTCACAGGGCACGTAGTTGATGTTGCTCATTCGGCTGTTCGCAGAGCTGGGATGTGGTGCGGGTCAGACGTTCCAGACTTATAAAGCAACGTTTTCAGACAGGTCAGACATGTGTTACGTGACGTTTTTGGACACATTGTCGCGCCGGTGGTATCAGCCGAGAGACGCCCGGTGACGGGAGCCTCAGTGCAGCGAGTGGCTGGCGCTGTGACTCCTCCTGCGCCTGACGTCGCCGTCGTACCCGCAGGGGCGGCAGCTTGGCACAGCGCGTGGCGAGCGCGGCCGGCCTCACGGTCAGGTCGGGCCCGGCGCGCGCGCGCGGCCGGCCCTGGGACAACCGACCCGTCACCGTCAGCGAGGAGGAGTTCCCGAGCCTGGGCGGCCGGCCGGCGCCGGCGGCCGCCGCGCCGCCGCCGCCCCCGGCGCCGGCTCCCTCACTCAGCTTGAGCGTGCAGCGGCGCGCGCCGCGCTCCACCAACGTCACGATCGACTTCAAGCGGCGGCCGGCGTCGGCGGGGCCGGCGGCCGCCGCTGCCGCCGCCGCCGCGGCCGCCGCCGACGCAGAGGCGGAGGCGGGCGGTGCCCAACCGCGCATCTCTCAGGTACGTGCCGGTGCGGCGGCCGGGGAGGGTTCTCGGCGGGGAAATGGGGATCTGAGAGCGAGGGGCTCCAGGCTGGACAGCCGCGGCGGTGTTCTTGGATGCGCGAAAAGTAGCGAACCGTAAAGTGGCGACGCTGACAACGCGCGGTTTTGGTGTGCTTCGTTGGGTTGTGCGTTCGGAATTGGTGGCGTTACATATACAGATGCGTTTTCGTCAAGAGTCCAAAGCCGCGATGCTTGTCCACCTAGCACGTCGTGACCAAATGAATGTAAAGGGAAAGACCTGGAAGACCTGGGTATCATCGCCGCTAAAGAAGCTGCACACACGTTGGATGTGAACACAAAACACTTCATTGGCACCGGGAAAGTCACGGGTCACGGGCCACTGATCACGGTTCACAGAGTCACAAGTAGGGGCTACGGTTCAACGGGCCAGCGGGTCCCTGGCCGGCGGGTCACAGGTTGGCGGGTCACGGGTGGGCGGGTCAGACGGGTGCCGGCGTGCTGGCCGGGGACGCTCAGCGACCTCCGGCCGCAGCGGGTTCTCAGTTCTCAGGCGGCAGCACGCGACGCGTTCAGCATGATGTCCCGCCTTGGTTCGCACTGCTCCCACCGGTTGTGTTTCCTGCGACTTAGCTCTCAATTTTTGCATATTGAACGGCGAAGGCCGGGACATGCAGCCTGCATGGGTCTACTGGCGACTACCTTAAACATGTCCGGTCTAATGCGGACAAAACCAAAACCTGAAACTGCAACGCCCATCATATCAACATTTGTGGTGCAGCTTGCGTGTGTCTTCGGAACGTTGCAGGGACGGTGGTTCACGTTTGCGACGTCCGATAGATGCCACCTGAAACTCAACAAGCCCGTGATGATCGCCGCTTCCCAGACGTTACTTCGGAAAAGAGCTGTGTTTGGCTGGGTTGGCTCTAACTTCAAGGGAAGTCTGGGAAACTGGACCGTTAGACGTCGGGTGCCTGTAGGAGAGAGACGTGGACTAGGCCGGTATCGGACCTCTCACCACGATCAGGGCCGACGGCCTGAACCACGCTGGAAGACACTTTGTGGGAAGCTGCACGGTGGCCTGTGCTGATAGCGTCCCTCCCCTTCCTCCTCCTCCCCCCCCCCCCCGCCGAGTGGAGGCCGTTGCATCCGTCCGAGCCGGGCCGTAAAAGTCAGGCGCTGGTCCATTGAGCGTCATGTCGTGGTTGCTGCAGGCTGCTGCGCGTCTGCTTGTACTTAGGGCGCTGCCGAATTCGACCAATTTGCGGCTGGGCCAGGCGGCGGTGTATTGTGGTGTCGTATTCCATTTGCGGCGTTCCAAGGCTACGAATAGGTGTGATGTCGCTTGTGTATATATATATATATATATATATATATATATATATATATGTATATATATATATATATATATAATATGCGGCATTACACCGAATAGACGCGTGATATTGCTCCTCTGATGTATTTTGGGTGGGATATTATTTATTTATGTCGATATTATTTTGAGTATCTTATCCGGGGAATAAAGCTATTACTACTGTGCTATGCCTTTCCGGCTTAATGCTGAAACTCGGATGGCAGGCAACCAAAGACCCCTCCCATCGTCCAGCTGCGCATGACACGGCGTCGGGGAAGTCCAACGCCACATGTGCACGCCCGCCGTGTTTCTGGCTTTCATTCATCTGCCGTTGCCAGGTGCGACCATGCTTCATTGTTACTGCGTCGTCCTCATTTCCGGCGCTCTGCCACATAATTGAGCGTTCGTGAACGCGTGAGTGAATGGGTGAGTGGGAGAGCACTGTGAGTGAGTCGAGGCGTTGGATGTAGTCATATAGCCCTGGCTGCGGCGCCCCTCAGCGCGAGCAGCGATTGGCCGGTGGGGACCGCAAGCGGCTGATCGCTCCGCCCCCGTGTGAAGCAGCCCACGTTCAGTCATTGTTCACTATTGAGCGGCCACCTTTTTGGTGTGTGACGGTTTTGATTTGACACTGCTACAGGCAACGTCGGCGTCAGGGCGTGGTTATTTTGGGGTATACGAATGAGTTGGGGTGCTGCTCGCCGGTATCTTTAACGCCCAGGTGTGAGCTGGTGTCTTCGTGGAGTGATGGAAACGGGCCGCTAAAAGTAGAAGTAAAAAGTGACAAAAACTCGCGTGGATGGTGACAAAAATGTTCCTCCAAACTTGGATATGTTTTACTGCTTCTTCACTTCGGGCAGATACTAATGTGTCGTATGCAGCGAACTGTCGCATGCAACGAACTTTCGCATGCAACGAACTCGCCATGTCGCACCTGTTTTCTCTCAGAACGACGCGGTGTTATCGCGAAGCACGAACTTCACTGTTCACCATCGGCGTGGGAGACAATATCGGACAAGCTTCGGACACGCATCATTCGACTGGCTATTCGGCTGCTTTTCGGAGCGTTAATCACAGGCTTGTTCACAATCCGAAAAAGTCCCATTATCGCGCACGTCACTGTATTCGGCGACGAAAGAGAGAATGTGGCCGTAGTTGCCCTTTGTTTTCTTCAGTTAACAACCCGAGCCCCCGTGCGGTGCGACACAGGCGTAGTCACCCGCACCTCAGGACTCGGGCTGTCAACCGGCTGGTTGCGGCAGAGTGGCTGGGACTAGCACTTCTACGTTGGTCGTGCTGGTCCGGTTTGAAACTTCGGGGCCGGCATCGAGCTGATGACGGCCCGGACTGACAGACAGGGAAGCGTGTCCAGAGAGGGACGGATCACGAAGAGCAAAGAACACTGCGCTGTCAGGTTGCACAAAAGTATGTTAGCGATATGGCTCAGTTCGACTACCACACTTGACATCAGCAAACATCTGCCTAGTTCCGGCAGTCGATATGCCAATAGCGGCCAAGCAGTGGTCATACTGTCAACCGTTCTGTGGTAGGCATATCACTAATATCATTACGTAATATTAACAGAGCAGCGAAGCCGTGGGGACGCCCACAGTTCTCACCCGACGCACAATGCCACACACACAACAGCACTCGTTGGCGCCATCTGTTGGTGACCCACACGACCAAGTGTTGACCTCGTGCCGCTACACTGTCATCTGTAAGGAATTGACTCGGAAATGACTTGTCTGTTATCTCTTGTCTGTTATTTGTCCAGTGGGCTCTAGAGGGTCATTGTCAACTAGAAAACATTTTTGTCGCGTGTCGTTACCTCTACGGCTACTAATGATATTGGCTTCGCCATAGCTTGTTATTTTAACAAGATACCGGCTTGCCAGTGAAGTGGTGCTGTACCCGGCAATGAGCTGACCAAGCAAACCAAAACGCTGTCGTCTGCCCCGTTCCCCGCAGGGGCACCGGCTTCGGTCGGTTGTAGGGGACTAGCGCCCCCTCGGGTCCCAGCTCCGGTAACGGGTGGACAGCGCAAGCTGTTCCTCTCAGGGCGTAGCGACCCTGCCGGTACGTGAGCCCCTTCTCCTTGTCCCGCTCGCTCCCTCCCCATTACCCATTTTCCCGCATCCGGCCCACTCATCACTCCTGATCCTCGTTTTATCGGGGTCGCCGTGCCCCCTCGCCCTCGTCCCCGGGTTGATCGGATCCTGGTGGCTGAGGGGCGCGTCGTGCGGGTCAGTCACGGCGCGTCCCAACACTCCACTTTGGCCAGGATATCCGGGGGCGCGGGGGGCCCGTGGGGCCCCACACGGGTCTAGCGGCTTGTCGCTCGCATCGCGGTTGGGTGCTCCTTGCGGGTTCCGCTTGGGGCGCCTGGCCGCGCGCAGCGGCTTAAGGGGTCAAGGGGCGGCGGCGCTGAACCACGGTCAGGACGGGGAGGGGTCTCCCCGGTTACACCTGGCCGTGTGGGAGGCGTCGTCCGCCCCGTATAGCACCGAGGTAGCTCTGGCGGCACCACCACCAGCTGGTGAGTGGGCCGTCCCCCAGTTGGGCTCCGAGGTGGGTGGGGAGCCCCGGTGCCGAAATAAAGAACAACCTTACATGGCATCTACAAACCCAAAAAACTCCCGCCCCCCGAGAGGGGGACGGACTGCGATGAATTTAGGGTGCAGCGAGGAGTCGGTTCCACCTGCCCCACGCGTTCTTGTCTTCCGGAGTGATGTGAAGAACCTGGCATCGCTTTCACCGTTTCAGCGCCGAAACGGATGCGACAGGTTGGGAAAAGTCACCCGCTGTGACAAGCTGAGGGACGGCGCGATCGAAGTGGAGTTCGCAAACGGCACCGATGCGACTCGAGCTTTGACTGTAACTGAATTTGTATATGCCGCGAGAACCGAGGGTGCAAAGCAAGACGTGAGCGTGCCGGTCACGGTCACACCGCACCACACCAAAAATTTCTCAAAAGGTATCATAAACTGCTATGACCTTCGTGACGTCAGCGAGGAGGAAATCATCGAAGAGTTGGGAATTTTCGGGGTCACGGCAGCACGTAGGATCACGACCAGGAGGGGTGATGACCAAATCCCTACAAACAACATTATACTGACATTCAACCGGCCTGATTTACCGTCTGATATCCGCATTGGCTACGCAGTTGTCAAAGTCAGGATCTTCGTTCCGAATCCGATGCGATGTTTTCAATGCCAGCGCTTTGGTCATACAAAACCACACTGCCGCAATCGAGCTGTCTGTGGGAAGTGTGCATCTTCCGAGCATTCGGGAGACCAGTGTACCTCTATGCAGCCCTGGTGCGTGAACTGTGGCACGGGGCAGGTACCGCACACAACTTTCGATCGAAGTTGTCCAGCCTTCATGAAGGAAAAGGAAATTATATCACTCAAAACTTCAAAGAACATTTCTTTCCGCGAGGCGCGTGAACAGTATGAGGCTAATCACCCCAAGGTATCTTATGCCGAAAAATCCAAAACCTCTGTACCACAGTCCACCAGCATCAGTCACATGTCAGCGGTCCAACTCATCACGCTCCTGCGATCCTTCGGTTTGTCTGTGGTGCCGGCGGGGCGGGCGACCCCCGCCCAGTCGGATCCTCCTGGTCCTTCAGTTGCGTCCTGCTCTACCAACGCTGTGCCGCCGGACCTTCATGTGTCGTCGGGGTCGCAGGCGGGGGAGGAGGAGGGATGGACGGTGGTCAAGCGCGGCCATGGTCCGCGGGCTCGGCCTTCCTCGCCGTCTGTCACTCCGCTGCCCTCGTCGCCTCCGGCGACGCTGGCGAGTGTGTGTGGACGAGCAGCGGAAACGATGGAACGGCATGAGGCGGACAGGCGCGCCCGCGACGCCAAGCGGGCCCGCCTAGCGGAGTTGGAGAGGGCTAAGACGGCCAATCGCTTGTCCGTTGCAAGCAAGGAGCCCACCCCTCGCAGTGGCACACCATCGCCGAGAAGGCCAGTGGGGGCCCCCGCTGACCCCCCAGACGCCCGGTAGAGGCCCGCCGATGGGCCCTCCCCCGCCGCCACCCCGGACCGGGTACGCTGGCGTCAAGCGTGCCCCGGCCGGTCCCCCGTCTCCATCTGACGGCGGGAGCCCCAGAACTCGTCCCAGAGTGGGGCGCCTCCCTGAAGATTCCAACCGTGGCTCTCAGTCAGAAAAGTCTGCTTCTCCAACTGGCGCAGCCCAGTTCTTTTAGGACGTGCCCGGTTTTAGTATGTGACCTCCAACCGGCTTTTTAACACGCCCCCTTTACAGGCCTTTTTACGGTGGAACTGTAGAGGAATAAGGGCGAATGCCCTCGACCTCCAGGCTGTCGTCAGCAAGCACTGTCCTGCAGCCGTAGCGCTGCAGGAGACCAAGCTTGCTTCTAGTCACCACTGCACGCTGAAGGGATACGCCCTGTTTCGCAATGATGTGTTAACCGACGGTATCGCACATGGCGGTGTCCTTCTTGCAGTCCACCACAGCGTGCCAGCCAGGAGGTTTAACCTGCGGTCTACGCTACAGGCTGTAGCCGCACGCCTACATTTTAATCACCGTCACATCACGGTGTGTTCTTTATATCTTCCACCTGGCGTCGGTTTTCCATTGGAAGACATGAGACGTTTAGTGCATGAGTTGCCTTCACCATGTCTTCTTTTAGGCGACTTCAACGCTCATCACACCGCGTGGGGTTGTGATAGCACGAACACCCGCGGAAGGATGTGCGAACATTTTATCCGTGACTCGTCACTGTGTATTTTAAACACAGGGACTCGTACTCATTTTACACTGCCGTCTGGTCAGACTTCCGCGCTTGACCTGAGTCTTTCTAGTCCCGAGCTGGTGGAGAGCCTCGAGTGGTCTGTGGCAGATGATCCAATGGGCAGCGATCACTTCCCAGTGTGGCTTCGATTCCAAATAAGAGGAACGTTGGGTGTAAGACCACGACGTTGGAATTTAAAAAAGGCTGACTGGAGAGAGTTTGAGGCTCGACTGGAGACATTATGTCAGACCGGAGGTGTGAGGGTGGCGCCCTCTATTGAGGATTTTACTCACAGACTTCTAGATTGCGCTAGCGATTACATCCCGCGCACTTCTGGATTTCCTCGTCGCACTCCTGTGCCGTGGTGGACGGAGAAATGTCGTGACGCAATTCGCGCACGCAAACGTGCTTTCCGAGCTTTTGACGCCAGAAGTAGCTTGGAGAATTTAGTAGCCTTTAAGAAAGCCAGGGCTTTCGCCCGCCGCACGATAAAAGAAGCGAAACGTGAATCCTGGCGTATGTACATAAGCACGCTCAACCGATTCACACCAACTTCGCAGGTGTGGGCTCGGATCAAACGTATCTCCGGGCAGTTTTCATCCGTGCCACTTCCTGTGTTACATGTTAACGGCCAGGTGGTGACTCATCCGTTGGATGTGGCTAACGGGATCGCCCGAGCACTCTCCCACCGTAGCGAAGGTGCAAACATGAGCCCACAGTTTTTACGGCAAAGAGCACAATCCGAAAAAACCGTAGTGAACTTTTCTACAAGGCAACCACAGGCGTACAATGAGCCCTTCACTTTGGTGGAGTTGGAGTCGGCAATCGGAAGACTTCGTAGTGTATCGGAAGGTCCTGATGACATCCACAATGAGATGCTCCGACATCTGCCTCCGTGTGCACGTCGTGCACTATTGGCGGCCTTCAACAGGGTGTGGTCAAGAGGTGAGTTCCCTCCGGCCTGGCGGGAAGCTGTTGTGGTGCCTATCCTAAAGCAGGGAAAGAGTGGGCTGGACCCTCTTCATTACCGACCCATTTCACTGACGTCATCACTGTCCAAGCTCATGGAAAAGATGGTAAACGTGCGACTCACTTGGTTTTTAGAGAACAACGATATTTTTAGTAACTCGCAGTGCGGATTTAGGAAAAACCGTAGTACGGTGGACCATCTCTTAACACTGGACACCACGGTTCGCAAGTCTTTTCAAGAAAAAGCGCATATGGGCACAGTATTCTTCGACATTGAAGCCGCCTATGACACCACATGGCGCCATGGTATTGTTCAAAAGCTCTTTAAATATGGTATACGTGGCCATATGGGTGCTTTTCTCCAAAGGTTTTTAGCCAAACGATACTTCCGTGTTCGGGTCGGCGACGTCCTCCGACAGGTACGAACAAATAAACGGCGTGCCCCAGGGCGGCGTGTTAAGTGTTGCACTGTTCGCAGTTATGATAAATGATATTTGTGACGTGCTCCCACAGTCGGTCGGACGTGCCCTTTTTGTTGACGATTTTACTATTTGGACCAGCGCAGCGAGAGCACCAGCGATGGAGCGGCGTCTCCAGCTGGCTGTGGACCGCGTTGAAAGATGGGGTGACATGAACGGGTTTCGTTTTTCAGGCGACAAGACCGTTGCGATGCATTTTTTGTCGTCGCCAGCGATGTGATGATCTGAGCATCCGTCTATATGGTCGCTCTATTCCAAATAAGGCCGTGGCCAGGTATCTTGGGATACACTTTGACCGCCGCCTTACATATAACGCACATCTTAAAATGTTACGCGATCGATGCTTTTAATCTCTCAACATACTAAAGTGTGTGTCTCGCACATCGTATGGGGCAGACAGAAGCACGCTTATGCTTTTATATCGTTCCCTCGTCCGCTCCAAACTGGATTATGCATGCTTTGTTTATGATGGCGCGTCTGAATCCAGCAAGCGTGTTCTTGATACCGTCCACCATACTGCCATTCGCATTGCTACTGGGGCGTTTCGCGCATCACCTTCCGTCAGCCTTTTAACGGAGGCACACGAACCACCACTTTCGACGAGGAGGAAAATGCTTGGCATGCGTTATGCCTTGAAGCTGCGGCAGTTCCCACGTCACCCGACATATTCTGCAATATTTTCGCGGTTTGCAGTAAGTTCTCTTCGTCATGGGCCGCAGCAGCACGCTTTAACTTTTGGTTCCCGAATGAGAGCGTTATTGCTTGAGAGCGGAATTCCTGTTCGGGGTGTAAGGCAAGTAAGCCGCCTGGCTTCTCCTTGGCAAATGACCACACCCTTCATTGACACCTCGCTTACGGAAATTAGGAAAAAAGACGTCACACCACACCTATTGAGATCCAGGGCAGTTGAGCTTTTGGCGTGTTATGAAGGATATACCCTGACATACACAGACGGATCCAAAACCTCGGATGGCGTGGGTTGTGCTTTCGTTAGCGGGTCCGTCACTCGATCGTTCTCGTTACCGGCCCACTCGTCAGTTTTTACGGCGGAATTAGTTGCAATCACCAAGGCGATATGTTTCATAGAAGTGGGTGAAGAATCTTCACACGCCATTTTTACAGATTCACTGAGCAGCCTCTCTGCACTGAAGTCTTTTTATCCATCATGTCCCCTTTTACAGGACATTTTATCACGCCTGACACAATTGAATCGGGTTGGAAAGAGAGTTGCACTATGCTGGATCCCTAGTCACGTCGGTATCGTGGGCAACGAACTGGCTGATGCCGCTGCTAAGCGAGCAGCGGTAGCACCATATACCCGGTTTTTGCCTATCCCTGCCAGAGATTTTTACCCGGCAGTCAAGACCTTCCTGAGAAGCAGATTGCAGCGCTGTTGGGACCAGGTGGGGGGCAATAAGCTCAGGGCAATAAAGACAGAGTTGGGCTTGTGGTCGTCATGCTCTCGCAGTGTGCGGTGGGAAGAGGTGGTTTTATGCAGGCTGCGCATTGGGCATACTTATGCCACCCATGGCCATCTGTTACATGGAGCCGACAGACCCCTATGCCAGCGGTGTGGTGCCGTCCTGACTGTCCATCATGTCATTATAGCATGTCCATGCCTCTTCGAAGAACGACGACGTCAGTTTGGTCCACAGGCTTCGACCCTGACGATAAACGATGTGCTTGGTGACAGTTCCTCCTTTCTTGGTCCCAAACAGCTCTTTTCGTTTTTAAAAGATATTGATTTTCAAGTCATTTTCACACCGTACTAATTAAGTAACAGCATAGTTATGGGCGCAAAATGACCACTGCAGTCGACGCGCCCGAAAACTCCAATGAACAACAACAACAACGTCTGCCCCGTCAAGTGCCGCTCTCTTCTATCGGGGCAAGGCGTAACCAGTGTTTCCCGCTCTCTCCGGCAGGTGTCCAGCTCGGGCAACATCACGGTCGAGCGGCGGCCGCCGGAGCCGGTGCGGCCCGCGGGACGCGCCGGCCGGCCGCCGCCCGCCACGGAGGAGGCGTTCCCCTCGCTGGGCGCGCCGGCCGCCGCCTCCCGGCCGGTCTCCTGGGTGCCGAAGCGGCCCGAGCCGGCGGCCAAGCCCGCGCCGAGTCCGGCCAACCGGCCGGCGGCCGACGACTTCCCGTCGCTGGCGCCGGTGGCGCCGCACGGCAACTTCCGCAACTACTCGGGCGTCGACGGTGTCAGGCCCCCCGCGAAGTCGGCCTGGGCCACGGACAACCGGCCGACGCCGGCTGCCAGCGGCGCTACCAGCGGCGCTGCCAGCGGCGGCGGGGCGAAGGGCAAGAAGAAGAAGAAGCGGCCGGCGGCCGGCGAGGGCGGCGCCGAGGCCGGCCGGCAGAACGGCGTCAGCACCGCCGAGAGCGTGGAGGTGCGCAAGGCGACGGCGGCGGTGAACGGACTGTCGGTGGCGCCGCGGCCGCCGCCCGGCCTGCCGCCGCCGGGCCTGGCCGAGCCGACCGCCGGCTCCCGGCACGGTGGCTTCGAGTACCAGCGGCCGGAGAACTTCACGGCGCGCAACGGCCGCCTGGTGCTGCAGGCGCGCGAGCTCATCCAGTCCGAGCAGGGCCTGGACGCCTTCAAGACCCTGTCGAGTGAGTGGCGGACGGCGCGGGGCGGCGAGGTTTGCCGCCCCGGTTCTGGCCGTTTCTTCTGGGTGGCTTTGGGATGCCTCATCTGCTGAAGTCATTCGCGTGGCGTCTCTCCAGTTCGCCGAGGGCCTTTCGGGTGGGGAAGTGGGAGAACCAGCATCTTTCTCGTTCTCTGCAACTTCTTCTGTTGTGATGGCGGCACTGTTGGACCGTGTTTCACCTGGCCGATGCCAGCTTGCGCCTGTGCCTGTTCTGTCACGTCGCTGGGGCTGCTGATGCCGACGGGCGATCCAAACGCACGCGACACGGCTGGGGCGCGCCGACGGTGTTACACAGCGGCGGCTGGCGCGACCCGGCCGCGACGGACCTCTTATTCACGTCACTAACGGATGCTTCCTGGTGCTGGGCGTCGCTGGACGCCGACGATGTTTGCCCTGGACACGTTCCCGCCCCCGGGTTGGATGATCTCGCTGCTGACATGCGCTGTGCTCTTTAGAGACGTACCTGGGCGGCGGTCTGTCGGGCGAGGATTACTACGCCAGCTGCATGACCCTCATGGGCAACGACAAGTTCGGCAAGGTGTTTCCCGAGCTGCTGGTGCTGCTGCCCGACATCAGTAAGCAGCAGGTAAGCGCACTGGGCGCGGTGTTCGTGTGCGGAGCGGCTGCTCAGCAGCGACACTAACGGACACACCTCGTAAGACGTGAGACGCCTTTAAGACGCCTCGTAGACGCGAGACGCCTCTCACGGCATGTGCGGAGCGCGCTGCTCAGCAGCGACACTAACGGACACACCTCGTAAGACGTGAGACGCCTTTAAGACGCCTCGTAGACGTGAGACGCCTCTCACGGCATGTGCGGAGCGGCTGCTCAGCAGCGACACTAACGGACACACCTCGTAAGACGTGAGACGCCTCTCACGGCATGTGCGGAGCGCCTGCTCAGCAGCGACACTAGCGGACACACCTCGTAAGACGTGAGACGCCTTTAAGACGCCTCGTAGACGTGAGACGCCTCTCACGGCATGTGCGGAGCGGCTGCTCAGCAGCGACACTAGCGGACACACCTCGTAAGACGTGAGACGCCTCTCACGGCATGTGCGGAGCGGCTGCTCAGCAGCGACACTAGCGGACACACCTCGTAAGACGTGAGACGCCTTTAAGACGCCTCGTAGACGTGAGACGCCTCTCACGGCATGTGCGGAGCGGCTGCTCAGCAGCGACACTAGCGGACACACCTCGTAAGACGTGAGACGCCTTTAAGACGCCTCGTAGACGTGAGACGCCGCTCACGGCATGTGCGGAGCGGCTGCTCAGCAGCGACACTAACGGACACACCTCGTAAGACGTGAGACGCCTTTAAGACGCCTCGTAGACGTGAGACGCCTCTCACGGCATGTGCGGAGCGCGCTGCTCAGCGGCGACACCAACGGACACGCCTCGTTAGACGTGAGACGCCTTTAAGACGCCTCGTAGACGTGAGACGCCGCTCACGGCATGTGACGAGCGCGGCGACAGTCGATCTGAAAGTTTCGGCTGTCATGTGTAAGGCATCGAAACCCAAGGAAGTGAAGCCGGCTGCTCTGGTTGCGACGAATTGGGCCTCTTGTTGCTTGTGATTGCAAAGGTTTGCGGTGGCTGAAAGGTTGTTACAGTTTGTGGAAAGGAGTTTCTGTAAATTTTGGAAGGCTTGCCGGCATGTTGATCGACCCAAACTGAATATTCTGTAATTGTCTAGGTGGGACACGTGGCCTGCGAGCTCGCTCGTGATTAAGTATGCCGAACTCTTTAGTTTGCGGTCAAAATCGTATATCCAAAAAAACATTTTCAGTCGTACCGTCAATTGCAATGCATCGGTAGCGGATTACCGGGTCAACGGGCAATACCGGGTCAACGGGTAATACCGGGTTACCGGCACCAGTACCGGTACCGGGTTTGCCAAGGTCAATTATTTTGTTACCGGGCCGTCGATCGCATTTCGTCACACCGCATACCGTGGGGCGCGAGCCTCCGATGTAGATCAACGCCCCGTCGCTGTCGCTGTGACAGCTGTCGGGTATGAGGCCCGACCCTGACGTCCATGACGCCGGTCCGCCAGCGCGCCTGTCGCCTGCGACATCTGCACGAACACCTCTAAAACCCGTCGGGCACGGGCGCGGCGCTACTGACGCCCCTCCCCCTCTCCATCCCCTCAGGAGCTGCTGGCGGCCCACGAGAAGCTGAACAAGAACGGCTTCCAGCGCAACAAGTTCCCGGCGTGCCCGACCTGCTCGCAGGTGCTGGTGTTCGCCGACTTCGCGCAGCACACGTCGCGGCACTGTCAAGACGGCGACTTCCCGGCTCTGTCCTGAGGTCGCGCGCGCCGAGTGTGTGGCCGGCGCGGCGGCCGGCGCCGGCGGCCGGTCGGGCTGGCTGCCCCACCGCTGCGGCGGGGCTCGCGCCGCCGGGTGGGCTCGGGTGCCGCGCGGGGCGCCGGGCCGTCTCCGTCTCGGGGTGTTGTTCGGGTTGGGGTAGTTGTGAGTTCGGAGTGGTCTTGGTCTAGGCAGGGGGAGGGCGAGACTCAGGCTCGCGGCGGTCTCGAGCCCGCGGTGGTCTCGTGCTCTGGATAGTCTCGTGCCCGCGGTAGTCTCGTGCTCTGGAAAGTCTCGATCCCGCGCTGGTCTCAGACTCGGGATAGTCTCGGCGGCGGTGTCGCCTCGCGCTCGGAGTTGCCTCTCGCTGGGAGCTGCCTCGTGCTCGGGGTGGTCTCAGTCCCGAGGCATCGAGCTCGTCGTGACGCGGCGACAATGCCTTCGCTCGTCGCACGGCGCTCACTGCGCGCCGCAGAGCTGGCGAACAAATTCTGCCTCCGGCGCCGCGCCGTCGACTCCCTGTGCTCTGTCCCGGCGTCCGTGATTCGGATTGGAGCGGTGCTGTGATTGGACAGCGGGCCGCCCACCCGGCCTTCGCTTGAACTACGTGGCGTTGGTTGGTTACGTTGGCGCGATAACGTAAACGATGGCAGCCTCGGTGCCGCAGGGATCTGCCGCGCCGGTTTATGGTTGGCTTTTGAGGCCCGGGTTATGTGCGCCTACTGATGTCCGAGTTATGTGTGGCTACTGACGGTGTGGACGGATGGAGACCGGGCGCAGACTCGACGCGCGAGATGGATGACTACTGACTCATTGGCCCCAGTTGTCACAGCTGTGAATGTGCTTTTATGTTTAGGCTGCGCGCCAGTGCAGTGACGGCCTCGTTCGCGGACCGTTTTAGATCAACAACTTCCCGATCGCCCTCGTAGTTGCCAGTGAGTTCAGCCAGCGGAAACGCACGGTGTGTTGTGTGTGGGCTTTGACCGACCCTGGACAGTGGCTACCTGTTTTGACGGGTGTGGGGGAGGGGAGGGGCACTCGCTCCCTGATCAGTGCCTTTGCCAAGTGGAGTTAGGTGCCGGACGTGGCGGCGGACCCTGGTGGGTGCGCTGTTCGGCACCGCCGAGAAACGTTACGTTGGTGCTACGGTGCGGTGATTTGTCCATTATGAATTATGACATTGGTGTGCGTATGGATATGTGGGTAAATCACACTCTAGCAAATAAAGAGACAATTCATTATAACCAGCTGTCATTGACGAGAAGAAACCTGCGCGCCTGCGTGTATGCCTGCACGTCAAGGCGGTCAAGAACCTGAGCCCATTTCCCCATAGTTTCATGGGCCCGGGCTCTGCCTACTGAGGTAGCATCTTGCGACGTCGCATGTAAGCGCGTTACACGCATCTAGCAAGATCGCCTGAAAGTCCAAATGTGAGCAATAAGCATAAGCTAGTTTATTATTAGCTAGTTCAGGCCCATAAGACGTAAAGCGCGTAGCGGTGGCGCGCTTTGTTGTTCGTCCGCGCAGTTGCCGAGTTATGCTATCAAGGCCGTAGATAATCGCACCCGCGTGCAGTCGAGGTCTGGGCACTTGCTCGCCTTTTCAGAATGTCGACAGCGCGTCGATCGTTACCAGGCGTTGCCATGGGAACAGTGACGGCTTGCTCTTGAACAAATACACTTATTTCGCCTCTCAGTCAAATGAGTCCGAATCAATGCTACGCGTTATGTATGACTCCGAGCCTGGGCCTCCGCGCGACTCGATATTTTTTCTGGTTTGGGGAAAACGTAGACAAAAGCTTCAGTTTGGGCTCTAGTTTATCGCAGCGATACTGACGCACGAAAGACGAACGTCAAGCCGCTATGTATTGCTAGAGCCCGGTGTGCCCGTGCATGTAATCAATGGGTGTAATTGGGCACAAAGCCCTGGGGCGTGAGGTGGTGCGGATTGCGCGCAGATGTGACACGACTTTATGTTCGTGTAAGCACTTACTGTTGCTGGACGTCATTAGATCCGGGGCTTCCCAATGTCTCTGAAAACAGTCTGAGAAGCAAAGCCAATCTTACGATGGGAACGCTACTTTCACCTGGTGTAGGATGCATTGAGTAAAGCACTTTAAGCTCGCATAACACACACACAAAGTAGTACTGCTCATTTCCCAAACAAATCAACTTCTTCACCAACTTGTTGCAACACTTACATCACTTCAGGACCAAGGAGCTCACAGGCAGGGGATGGATAATTGCTGTCCTGCTGGTATGCTAAAGAAACAAAAGTATGTGTTTGTTCTCTCAAAATTATCACAGGCCCTTTTACCCAAACTGAAGGTGTTGCTGCTCCTCACATGACCACAATTCAGATTAAGGAGGCTCATCACAATGGAGCTAGCAACTACAAAAACATGTGGAAGACCTCCACATTAAGAAGCCTGACCTGGATTGTGGTCATGCGTGTACAGCTTTTGGCAGTTCATGCTGTAGATCAGGGTGTCTGTTTTGTGTTGAGGAGGCCTTTTTTGGCCCAGGGGGTCCATTGTTAATTAGGGGGTCTTTTATTGGGAACAGGAAGCATCTTTCATGTTGCAGATGGCCTCATTTTCTGACCAGGATGCCCTGTTTTTGGAAAATGAGGAACTTTGCTGGATTTTGAAATCCCTTTGCTAGTCAAAAGGATGTTGTTGAGAATTAGGATGCACCTTTATGCATAAGGAGGCTGTCCTCTGGAACTGGAAGCCCTGTTTTAGGATAGGTATGCCTTTTCCTGATCAGAAGGCCCTTAAACCAAAGGCCCCTTTTTGAAATTTTTAGTGGTTGGTATTTATTTGGAGGCATATTGATGCATGTAATAATTTGATAAGGGGTCACATGACATTTTTCCACTCCTCAAAATATGGTATTGTCCAGGAGGCACCTCTGTGATGAGACCCTTTTATTCAGGGGGGCCCTGGAAAGCTGTGTGCTGTCAAGAAATATTTGGGGCTGTCCCTACTCATCTCAAATGGGTGGCATTTTTGGAACGGCATAGCTTTTATGCCATTGCTTATATGACATAGTTGATTGCAACTTCCAGCAGCCTTACCACAATTCCAATTAAGGTAGCCCTAATTTGCCATCATAATTAGGAAAGACCACATATTCATAAAGTTAAGTTTCATCATGCATTATCGAGTATCTTGAAAAGCAATGGTCTATTTGAATGACATACTCAAATACTGCTGGCATCAGAATCCCTGTTAAGTGCAAGTTGTTTTGCAGGCATGGTCCACATCACTATAGTGGTCAGAACTACTGAATGGCTTTTGCAAGCCTGATTACCCTTAATGTGATGGATGTTTATTATGCCATGCAAGATTATTATATAGCTGTCTAGCAGTCCAGGGTGTTCTCTCAGTGTGTGGAAAATGACATGTGATGACATGTTTGTATTCCAGAAATTTTGTGATTCCCAGAATTGTGGCCAAGTTGAAGGCAAAACTTTTTCAGTTTTGTGATTGTGATAATTGTGACCAGGCCAAAGGCAATGCTTTGTGCTTGCCAATGTCTCCAAAGGCCAGGATTTTAACTCGGGGTGTACTGGAGAAGAAAGCTAGCTATTTGGTGAAGCAGTAGCCTTGGAGAGCAATTTTTTCAGGGTACAAAGGACCCTGACAAACAATAAAATGTTTCATACACTGCTCTGTCTTTTCTAGGCAGGTTCTGCACTGTAAATGGGATATCAATCTATGTAGCTGTGCCCCAGATGCACCACATTATGATTAGTTGCCAGCTGGTGAAAGTGCTGCAGACACTATGCTGCCATACACAATGTTGTTTTTCTTCACAAACAGCTGCCAGGGCAGAATGTGTGCTGAGTCTGTCTGTTGTCTTACTGCTCTGTGTGTGTCATTGCTGGTCAGTATCCTTAGACAACTGATTTGCTCCATGCTTTAATGCACTGCACCTCATTGCCTCCATTTCCTTACATACCCAAGCAGTCTTCAGATCTGCTGATGCCAGTCAGTCTTTGTCACATAGTTCCTGTTTGCAAAATGTTGACATGACAGACTGCCAGGTAGGCTGATGGTATTGCAATCTTTGCAGACCTGCTCCAGAGCAGTGACAATGCAAACAATACCTAGTGCAGCTGTGAGAAGGTTAGATTGGCTATTAGAAGGCTGGATTGCTTCATACATGATAGCCCTATTCATGTGCTCAGCATCTGTTGCCAATCATTCCAGCCAGACTCTGCCAGGCACACTGACTACCACAGGCCAGTGCCAGCCATGAACATCGACGACGTGTATGCTCACATTGGCCAGTTTGGCCGGCAGCAGCGCAAGTACTTTGGCGTCTCGTCTGCCGTGCTGGGCACGTACGCCTCCGTGGCTACCTTCAACCAGCAGTTCGCCTGTAAGCCCCAGCAGACTGAGGGTGGGGCTAGGGGTTAGGCACTTTTGAATTATCAGCCTCAGGTGGTGTGGCTTAGATGTCGTGAGCACCTGCGGCGACTGGGGCGGACCATTCGGTGGTGGTGGTGGCTGTTTTTGAGCGGTTCGTTTGCGAGATTCAGATGTGTTTTCGGTAATGTACTCTCTTGGTTCTAAACTTAGGTGTAATGTTTTGATTATTAAGCCTTACATGCTTCACCTAGTAGGCCTTATTCACAGTGGCAAATATGGCATGATTGGTAAGTCTTGCCTGTGGTGGCGTAGAACGACTTAAGAAATGGCAGCGTCAATGACCTCTCGCTCCGCGCATGGCTCGTTCGTCGTCCTCCCTTGTCCTCCGACTGAAAGTGGACTCGAGTCTCTCGCGGAGTCCCGAGCTAACCAGCCGTATTTGGGGGCGCTCCTCCGCCAGGCCTGGCAGCCCTCTTCGAGTTTACACGCGAACGGATCGCGCTGACGAGACGATGCTCGACATCTTGTGCTACAGCTGTGTCGCGCTCCATTTCCAACGGCGCGCTACACGACAGTGGTTGGACGGAGGTGCTGCCGTGGCCGTCCGCGTGGCCGACACTACCTGGCCGCCG